TTTAAAGTCTATATAGCCTAAGTTTTTTAGGAATATTTTTTAAAGTCTATAAGGCGCATAGCTATGAGGGCTATAAGCCACATTTGTTCTTGAATATTGGTTTGATTGTTTATAACGAATCAATTTCCGAATTAAAATTTAACCGCAACCTGAGCATTAGCAATCTCTTGAAACCCACTATGTTTGGATGGGGGAAAATACGTGCAAAATATTTATTCTTGTTTATTTTTATTGCACACTTTATATGGCATCGAAATACACACATTATGTACTTAGGCAAAACAAAAAATAAAGTATTTTTTTGCATTTCTAGATGGCATTTCAAACTTTTGACGCACAATGAAATCCAACTGGTCGATTGGTAGCGGGTAAACATTCAGAAATATTCCAAACAATATAATGAGAAGAGCTTTATTTACAAAAGAAAAAAAACAACAACAATATTGTTCCCCGGTTGGATGATACCCATTGAGAGATATCCTTTTACAGCTGACACACTAACCCAACACTTGAAAGAAAACAACAAAAAACAGAAGAAGTGCCAAGTGGACAACCCAATTTCATCAAAACCAATATGGCCGTCCAATGCAAGAATTTCATGAACTTCCGTTACAGGTACGTATTTCTGTCTCTTCTTTATTCACTTCATTCCTACTTGTATTTCTTCTTTGTCTTATGTTTATTGTTGTTTATGTAACACTTGTTTAAATCGCTCCTGTAATCCTTTTTTAATACCATTAACTATTTTCCGCCAATGTTTGGTTGCTTGTTTTCACAACAACAGCTAATCATAATTCTTTAAATGGCCAGACACACAATGACCATGGTCTCGACCATTGTTTGACTTTTGTCCGACATGAGGTGCGAATCTAACACATGTTATTATCGTATTTGTCTTACAAGTGTTTTGAAAGGTATTTGCGAAAGGTGAGCATTTTGTTTATCCCTCCCTTTTTTGTTGTGTGGCCAATATTTAAATACTTTAATCGGATTAACCTGGGGTGATTAGAGAGGCCGCATGGCAATTGGAAACAATTGTTGGGAAAAGTATTGGTTTCCACTTATTGGCAAATGTTGTGAAGTGGAAAGTTATGTGGGAAAATTAAAAAAAAAAAATATTTCCTTTTTTTTATATGAAGTTTCTAATTATTTCTAATTTTATATAAAAAACCTTTTCAGAATCTTCAATGAATGCAAGTAATCCCGATTAAACGTTTGACCTATTATGTCAAAATGTCTGTATGGAGGTATTTCATCGTCTGAGTATAATAAATATCCAGTTGGCAATTGGACTACGAACTTCGCCATACCGAAAATTAAGTAGAAAACAATGTAAAAATATTAAGGTAAATATTTCCGACAAATCGGAATATTTCAATAGTCTAGAATTTATATGAAATTTATACACAGATAACAAGTTTCCTAAGCTCGGTTGGGGTTAACGTGGAAGAGGCCAATGATAAAATCCTATAAATTTTTTTTGGAAAAATATTTCCACTTGAGGCTTTTAGTTTTTGTTTTTGCAGATCTTATTCGAATTATTATTTCTTGTAAATAATTTTGAGTTTAAATCAAATAAACCACCTCTGACTTTTATAATCCAACTTGCTGCATATGCAGATAGATCTGTGGTAATAAATGGTATATTTATATTCTAGAGGGGAGTAGGGGAGACTGAGGCACCTTCGGCATCGGGGCACATTCGGCAATCGCGTTTTCGATATGAAGCTCTCACCGTACATCACTAGTTTCGATATATAGGTATCGAGTATCGAAATAAATAAATGACACAAAGTTTGAAATTTCTAGCTAATAAGCCAATTTAGATACATGGGTTTTTGTATTTTTATAGATGTTTCTGTAATATTTCAATTCCATTTCGTAAGTATTTCGTGTATAAAACTGTTGAAATTTTTAAGACAATATTATTAAAAAGAGGTTAACTACGTTGTGTATTATTATAGAAATATTTAAAAATATAATGTTTTTACAAAATTGATCGAAAAAAATTAAAAAAACTATAAAAAGTATATTCGGGGTACATTCGGCATTTTAAAGTGGGGCACATTCGGCAATATACAGATTGTGCAATATTATTTCCTTAAAATGTTTTTGAGTTTGTCTTTAAAACTAATCCTTTAATATGGTTCGAAATTGCATATATAAGATCAAACGTGCTTGTATTGACGAAAATGCGATAAAAACCCCTATTTCTGATGGTGTGTGTGACCTTGAGATGTAAACGTCCGCTGCTAGAAAATAAAGCCCTATAATTCAAACATTGTGTGGCGTATTAAAACCAAATCGAGCCTTAAGAGGATCAGCATTTCAACCAGACTGATAGCGATGACAATTACCCGGCTATGACTATGGTGCCGAATGTGCCCCATCAAATGCCGAAGCTACCCCGGGTTGGGGCACATTCGGCGAATTTGACTTTTTTTACAAAACTGTAAAATTTTTTAACTAATACTATTTATTTATATCTTTTTGGTACTATTTTTTATAATTAAGTGTCAGAGGACAGTAATCAGCCATAAAGTTGTTATATATGTTGAATAAGTACTGAGATATAGAGCTCTAAAAAAAGTGCCGAAGGTGCCCCAGTCTCCCCTACATATCATGTGATTGTGAATTCAATGCACTATTGCAAACATCGTTGTGTTCTCTAGCAATTAATGCATCAATAATCTCCTTACAATATCTGTTTATTGGTACATTTTTATTAGGAGGACAGGATATTGCAATTGTTCACATATATCGGATCATTCTCTTGCCCAATCAAAATTGGCGAATTTATTCTTCAGGTTTAGAAAATTCTCTTTCCACATCCCAGGCTATGAGCTCCATTTTTTGTCATAGTGAGATAGGGATGATTTCAAATGGAGTATAGAAAATGGAGATAGAAAACCTTTTTCTTCTTGAACTACAGCAAAAAAATAATCACGCCAGAACTCACAACTGGATCCATTTTTGTGGTTTCCAAAAATTCTCGCTAAGGACATTCATTCACTTTTAAAGTGGAATTTTCCACATCGCAGACTATGAGCTCCATTTTGTTTCTCAGTGCGATGGAGTGATTTTAAATAAGGTCTTCGAACGTGACCAGCCTGCAAAAAGGGAAGCAACAATATTTACATTTACTGAAAATCAAATACAGGAAAACTTGGAGGTCTTTAATGTGAAGTGAAAGCTTGTGAAGTAGACTTATGTCTCACGGGGTCCAAAAGGAATTCGCAAATTGTAATATCGTAAAATCTCTGTGGCAAATTTCCCCTTTAAAGAGCTATGGCTTCGTTGCTTGTTTGGCGCTTTGTCTTGATGAAATTAAACAAAAATCATAAATTATATCTTGATAATGGGATGATTTCTCCGCAACTGATCATTTAAAATTCATAAAAGTAATGTCAATGACCCCGCCAGACCATTAACTCCACCAAACAGACACACGTTATGCACTTGTTGAGATTTCCTAACCCATGATGTGACAATTTTACTTTTACTATGACAAATTTGCCCTTCTAGGACCTTGATATAATCTACACGCGCTTTCATCCCTAAAAGAAATGTGGTTTCCCCAAAAATATTGTTGAACAGTGTAATAGATCTATGTGCCCTTCTGAGACCCAGTAAATTGAAACAATTGATTGTATTGTTCGAGGAAGAGGCACTTCTGCAGATATGTTTTTCTCCTCCAGAATCACGGAATTACAAATTATAGTAACTTCGCAAGAAAATGCGGCTAAAACGTATAAAATTCCGAATATCGAATAGCAAACAACAGTGAAGTCGATCAGTAGTTGATCGCTCTCTCAGTAGTTGATCGCTCTCCGCCCAGATATTTTTTCTCCCTCCAGGATCACTGAATTCCAAATTATAGTCACTTCGATGGGAAAATACGGCTAAAACGTATAAAGTTCCGATTATCGAAGCAGATTAGCGAATAGTAAATACCAATGAAGTTAACAAAATTCTTCGTCATTGTGCTTTGATCGCTTTCCCGCCCTTAGATTGCTCCACGCTAACCCGCCCTCAGATCGTCACTCTTGTGTCTAACTCGCTCATCTATTACCACGACATATACATCTTATACGATCAATAAACCAACCATCGATGTTTATTCCTTCTACTTTCTTCACTTCAGTGCAAACATTCGTTATGATAACAACTACATAATTCTCATTTACTTCGTAACACCGGATAATTAAGTATTTCACTTTGTATCACTGAAGTTGTCGAGAGACACAGTTAACGGTTAGTAAAAACAAATGAAACTTCGTTTGGGAAATCCCCACGCTTAGAGCAACTCGTCAGTATTTAAAAAAAAGTGATACGCTTTAATCGTTATCCCGCCTTTGTCTCGCTCTAGTTTTAAATAACATCTGCGCTTAACTCGCTCCTGCTTTTAATTCACACATTCCAGCGTTTAAGGCCAGATTACTATTACAACAACATATGCCATTAAACAAGATCAATAAACCAAACATTTTTATTCATTCCCATAAAATAAATTATTTTTATACATTATAACATAATTCTCATTCCCGTCGTAACAACGAATGTATATCACCTTTTATTGCTGAAGTTATTCCGCATCAGATTTTAACAATAGTAAATACATGTGAAGTGGGCGTTTGGCAAATCCGCACTCATTGTAACTCGTCAGTTGTTAACAAATGTAATTCTCATTCACTTCGTTACCTAGGATACATAAGTAACACTTAGCGAATAGTAAATATAATTATTGTAATAGTTCGGCTAAGAAACTCAGAAAACGTATACTCTTTGTGGTTCTATAAGGTCCGAGTAATTGGCAGAATGAAATTCAACTGAAGCGACAAAATTTTGATTTAATTTTAAATGACCTAGAAATTTAGGAAGAAATTATTGGCTTTGAATGAAATGTTATCGAAACTTTTCAAATGATGTAATGAATTAATGACTTGGATGTTCGGCGACAATGGGAAAAAAGCAAAGAAAAAAACATTCTAATCTCTCACCATTTAACCAATTCTCAACATTTTTATTATCATCCTCCGCCGCTAATGTATTAACATCAACAAAATTCGACATAAAACCACTTTCAAATTCTGCCGCATGTACAAAATCCGAATTCTCCCCACTCAGCAGCGATGCTGGTGAGGATGTTGTATCCACAGATGCATTTAAATCACCCGTCGTCATTTCTCGGTGGGGACTAACTAACGATAGGGAATGAAAGGATTGTTTTATGGACATCGATACTAATGACGACGCGGAGGAGGATAATGTGGGTGAGGTGGACGATGTTGTTGTTGTCAGTCGTATTTCTTCGTTTGTTAATTGACGGATTTGTTGTGTTGACAACGAGGACGACGATGGCGGCGGCGGTGCAGGCAACATTGTTCTAATTTGTGTGTGGCGTTTATTTTTTATCGACATCGACTTACTTGTTTTGGAGCGTGGTTCACGCGGTCCATCAACGGTAACTTTTATCGCTTTGGCATAGGTGGCCACCTGTCGGGGAAATGTATCCACAGTTATGGTAAGGGTAAAACTTTTACCTAAAATGAGAAGAAAAAAAGAGAAGAAACAGAAGTGTTAAAATTATTGCTGTCATAAATTTTAATTATTTTTTTGTTTGTGTGGGTTATAAATTTTATAAATTATGTGCAGAATGGCAACATCGTAAGATATGTATGTATGTCGTTATGTATTTCAAAGTAGCTGTGTTTAAGAAATTGATTTCCTTCGTCAAGGTTCTTGTTTTTGATGGATTTTGACACCCAAATTTAATTGTTTTCCAGTGATCATTTAACACGCGCCATTAACAGTTGGCGGTCTTCTTTCTTTTGTGAGGTTCGTAAGTGTTGTGAAAATGAAGATTGATTTTTTTGGTGTTTCACTTAAATGCCTTCAAATCTTTTTGGGGCTTTTGAAAGGTATAAAAATGTGAATTTTTTGCTAAATTGACAAAATATATTATCGAGGTACGAATTATCGAAGTTCTACTGTACCAGATTTTAATGGATTTTTCAGAGCAAAGTCTATAGAATGCTTATTTAGAGTTTTTTATACTTAGAAGACACTTATTGTAGGTTTTCTAGACATAGCAGAGGTTCTTCGAGACATACGAGGACTACTTTACATGAAAAGTCTTTTGAAGGCTATATTCACTTTGTTACCCGGATTGATAAATATTTCACTTTTTGCGAAGAGTAAGTACCATTGAAGTCTGCATCTGGCAAATCAGCAGTCACAGTAGTTCATCAGTTGTCAAAAACCGATGCGCTTTGACCACTATCCGCCAATGTTTAACTTCTTTTAGGTCAGCTGTACATGGAAGGTTTGCAAGAAAATGTTCAAACATAGAATACCTTATGTCTAGAAGACCTACTGCAGATTTTATATACCCAGAATACCTTCTGGTAATCTTCTGTGCCTAGAAGGAGTATTGGAGGTCTCCTATGTCTAGTATATTTTCAGTCCCAACAAGACGTTTTACACTATAAATACTTCATGGAAGTTGCCTATGCTCTAAAGACCTTCTAATCATGCATTATGAATTAACAAAATAATTCTCATTCACTTCTTTACTGCGAATGCATAAGTAATCACAGTTAGCGAATAGTAAATATAAATTATTATAATAATTATAGGTATATTGTAAGACTGGTGTTAGGTTATAATAAGTCTGAAGGACTCTAAATTTAAAAAAATAAGAATTATGCTAAGCACACGATAAGAAAAATTGTCAGTTTCTAATTTAATAATTAACTGAATTTATGGGAGTCAGCGTGTGACAAATCCGCAGTCATAGTAACTCGTCAGTAGTTAAGGAATATCTTCGGTCATGCTCTTTTATTATTGTCCAAAAATAGAAGTAAGTCCTCCTGCTTGGTAACCTTTCTAACGGGTTTTAAATACAAAAACCGCATTATTGAGGTTTTTTATGCCCTGACGCGTTTCTCGATGTCTTTTGGAGATCTTTCAAATGCAATACCTTCTAAAATTCTTCTATATGACGAAGTTTCATTAAAGGTATAGCTTATATGGAGACATACTTTATATAGAAAATCTTATGGTGGTCTTCAATACAAAGACATTTTCTATAAATAGAATATCTTTCGTCTTTAGGCCTCTATTTGTATTAGTGATGTAAATTTAGAAAAATAAGGATTTTGCTAAGTATACGACAAGAAAAATTTGTAGTTTGTAGGTTATTAATTTACTGTTTAATGAATTGATGGAAAAAATATATCTTGAATCATGCATACTAAATAGAAGTGAAGCCAGAGTGTGTCAAATCCGCAGTCATAGTAGCTCGTCAGTAGTTAACAAATATCTTCAGTCTTTCTCTTTGCTCATTCTCCAGAAATTAAACCTTTAGCAACCTTTCTAACGATGTTTCAGTGCAAAAATACGATATAGAGGTATTTTATATCCAGACGCTCTTCTCGATTTCTTTTGGAGATCTTTCAAATACGATACCTTCTAAAATTCTTATATACGAAGAAGTTCCATTAAAGGTATTCCTTATCTGGAGACATTGTTTACATAGCAAATCTTATGGAGGTATTCAAAACAATGATATTTTCCATAAATATAATACCTCTCGTTTGTAGGCCTCTGTTTGTATAATAGTGACGTAAATTTAGAAAAAGTATACGATAGGAATAATTGTAAGTCATCAATTAACTCTGCTTTATGAATCAATGGAAATATATATGTGTCTTGCATATCAAATAGAAGTGAAGTCAGTGTGTGGCAAATCCGCAGTCATATTAACTCGTCTGCAAATATATTCGGCATTGCTCTTTGCTCATTCTCCAGCCCTTATCTTGATCCTTCTGAAAATCTTCAACAGAAAGAAAATATACTGGTAGGCAAAAATGAGGATATAGACGTCTTTTATGTCCAGACGCTCTTCTCGATATCTTCTTGAGGTCTTTTTAAATATGGAATTTATTCTGAAATTCTTCTAAACATAGGGAATGCCCTTAATCCTTTTCTAGATACATTCTTAATATAGAATATTTTATAAAGGTCTTCAATAAAAAGAGTTACATCTTGTTTGTGCATAAAAGACCATTTAGAGGTCTACTACACATGGAAGCTTGTGTGCATGTCTTCCTTATATAAGATACCTTATAAAGGTATGTTATAGGTGAACTACCTTCATGAATTTTTCTATATATAAGAGTCTTTCTGATGACTTTCTGGTGGCTTTCAGGTCGCGTTCCATTCATAGAAGACCACCAAGATTAAATAAGAACTCAGGAGTATATACAGTCGACGCCCGGTATAACGAATACTCAGTTTAACGAATTTGGAATATAACGAATGAGCAAAATAGTCGACTTTTTACACTGACTATCGCATATTACGAACGTTTTTCAAATTAATATACTGGGTGTATCGAATAGCGCAAAAAATAATGGGCGAGCCTTAAAAATTTAAACACGTTATTTTTCCTCTTTAGTTTTGCAAACTTATTAAAAATAAATGAGAACTAAAAGAACCGATCTCGTGGATGCCACTCCTGAAAAATTGTACCATTCAATTTTCATTTTTTATTTAAAATTTTTTCCTAAAACTTTTGCACTGTAAATAAAAAAACTACGATATAATACTACACGTTTATAACATTGACTTAAAATTGAAACTGTCTCCTATATATGAAACAATATACGAATATGTAAATATTCCTTAATATAATTTGTCTGGCAGACTTTAAAGTTCATAGCTACGTAAATCATATTTGCGATTGTAAATATCCTTATTGAAAACAAACTAAGGCAAATACATAAAATGCACACAGACACTATACGTATGTAACCCAAAACCACAAAACAATTTTAAGAACACATTTAGGGAAAAACGGACTTCTTAGCTGAAACTTAAGTGTAAATGGAATAGGAAAATAGAATAACGCCGTATCCTACAATTTCAATGTCAAGCTAAAATAATTAAAAACCAGTGAGCGGAGCAGTATAGTCGAACGGGGCCGACCATATGATACCCTACACAAAATCGACGAAAATCTAACTTTATGTGGTTCTACATTCTGAGCTTGAGCGATATTTCGCGATACTTGCACCCTCTTGATCGACTAGAGTTCAACAAATATTATAAATATTTAGTACATCACTTTTAATTACTTGTCCAGATTCCCTTCACCGTGGGTTGTGTTGTGATGTTCGGCTTTCAATTGATACCCTACACAACATCCACGAAAATCTAAATTAGTGTGGTTATATACTCTGAGCTTCGGCTTTAAATTGTGGCCTATAGATCGACTCGAAAAAAATAAGTTTTTGGTCCACTTCATCCCAATAGAATTATCAGATCATCACCAAAAATCATAGGCGTTGTCTTTAACCATACCTGGATCCTCATGGAAAATTTCAAAGCGATCAGCGCTATATTTCCGCCCTCTAGTGTGGTAATGCGTTGCCAAATAATATCTGAATACGTAAGCACCTGTAAATATTTACGTGTAACTCCCATATGCGACAATATATATATATATATAATTGGTATGGATTTAAAGGTCAACCACTCCTCTTGGATATACTATCAACATCTCGGGTATATTTCCTTCAGGGGTAAATATATACTCTATAGAATACAAATTTTGTCATGTTCACACAAAGGTCAGGGTTCATTTGACCCGCTAAATATTGACCTATGTTTATCAAAATAGGCATGCTTATTCTTTGGCCCGATCCCCTTCTCAATGTAGCGACCAGAAAATCAGACAAAAGTAAAGTTTTTGGTGCATTTCATCCCCCAAATATTAACCGATCTGTACAAAAAACAATAGGGGTTTTCATTGGCAAAACCCATCCTACATGCAAAGTTTTGTGTAGAGTGGTCCATAACCGTGGGCTGTTATGGACCAATCTGCGGACGGACGGACACACATGTCCAGATCGACTCAGCTAGTCGAGATATGACGGTATACTTAAAGGTGGCTCTAGGAACAATATTTCGCGTTACAAACTCTTGGGGCTGTACAAAGCTATAATACCCCGGCAGCATTGTTGTGTAGGGTATAAATTGTTTTATATTATCCTAAAATATTAGGCTATGCACACTTTGGCATCCGTTCGCATTAATTTATCAAATTAATTTTGTCCTACATGTTGATAATATTTTAGGAGAGGTGCCAGAATGTGCGAACAGCTATTTCTCATATTCGAACCTAATATTAGTCTAGAAGAAATTTGATGACATCGGTTACTTCCTTATCGTGCTCAGCAGCCAGAGAGGTAAAGGGACATTTGTAAATCGACTCCCAATTTTCGGAAACGGATTTCGTCAAAAGAAACCAGGAGTCTAAAACCGATATTTCGGTTATGTACATTTTTATCGTAGCAGTTTTTATTGATTGGTGAGAGACTCTTATTGCACATTCAAGTTCAAATATCTTAGAAGAAACGGAATTTTATGCTTTACACGAAGCGAGGAAAGTCTCTCATCTTTGGGTGAGGGAGGGGTATCATATGGTAGAACTTTGAAATTTCGTGTTTGATAATGGCGCAGCAAACATTAAATGATG